ACACTTCCTTTCATACATGGTTTATTTAATTTGAGATACTAAGACACTACATATTAGGACTGCAATGGTCTGATTATATACTGTCACATATCATACAGTTTTGCAAGAACATGGTTACAACATTCAACTTTATTGTGATTATAGTATAATCAATGTTAGTGTTCAACTATGACTACAATATAGAAGATTCTACCAGTATATGTAGTGGTGTAATTGTGGTATAAATAATGAATGAATATGACTAAATATGAATACACTATGGGCCAGGTATGAGCAGTATAGACTAGTAAATATATAAATAGTAAAAGTCAAATACATATTAAGTAATGTAGTAAGAATGTGCAAGTATGTTACACTACAAATAAAAGCTGCTTCACATGCAGACAGAATATAGTGCCGGCAGCTGCATAGCTTTAAATATATTTAACAACAAACATCTGCCAGCAACAGAGAGCTATGTGTGAAGGGGGTTAATATGCTTACTGGTGACTAGTTCAATAGACAGGTCACTAATAATAGGCTTGGAACTGTTTACGTGAACACGTCAGTTTATTAGAAACAACATGCATTACGACGTAACAGCAACAGAGCTCTCTGGCAACTCCGACGGTATGCACGACTCTGGCGAACTCGACGAGAAGAGATTTGCTGCATCTCCGAAGCACGACAAAACAAAATATTCAAATGTGGCGCTACAGACGGCGACGGAAGTGAGCAAGAGGGTCGGAGTTCAGGGAGCGATGTGATGGCGGATGTAGTGTGTCCCAATAGTATGCATACTGCATGCATACTGCATACTACACTACATACTTTTTAAGGGCAGCTGCGGTACATACTAAAAGTATAATATAGTAGAAGTATGCAATTTGGAACGCAGGCCAGGTGTGGCCTGAAAGTTTGAGGCTAAGTCCCACCCTCCCTAAGACTACACAGGAAGGAAGACCTTCACTTAGTGCCCTGTAGCAACTCGAATTCAGCCATAGCAAGAGCGAGCATCGGGGGTATGATCCCGGACTGCCCTCTTGACCACCCTGAGTCCCTGTCAGAGCAGTAAACTTCTGTTGCCACATTTATGCAAATCACAACCTGCATGTTGACGGCCACCAGCCTGCTGTGAACCCTGGGTCTGGAATTTGCAGTGGCTGAATTCAAGTTGCCACAGCGGCTAAGGTCCAATCTGCCGTCTACTCTCGGGGAAGCAGTGTCCTATTGGTGGGGAGGGTTCAGTGGGTTGTGCTAGCTTGCTAATTTTTGTTTATAATTTCAGTTCCCCCAAGTATTGAAAAGAAATACTAATATTACAGGAAGTAGTGACATGTTAAGTATGATGTGACATTGTAGTTTTAGCTGAGTAATGTTAGCTAAAGTTAGCTTACTTGCTGACGTGGATAAACTGCTAGCTCGCTAAAGTAGCAAAATACTGTCTTGGGTGATTATTGTCATTTCATTCTTGCCTAACCCCCTACCAACCTCTCACACCCCCAACAAACCTGTCTAACAACCAACACACCTGTCTCACTAACCCCCAACACACCTGGCTAAACCACTACCTACCTGTATAACTACCTACCATCTTATTCAGTCCCTTGACACACCTGTGTAAGTCCCATCTACCTGGCTATAAGAACTTGTTTAATCATTTCAGCTTTGCACAGAACAACAAGCTAAGAAAAGGATCCTCTCCCATCATGCCTCGGGTGTCGTTCGCCCCTCCCTCACTGTGCTTCACCTTCCTCCCTCTGCTGGACCGCCTCCTCCCCTCTCTTCCCCCCACTGTCCGAGATGTGGACGTGCCCCCTCTGTTTCGGGAGCGCTTCATCCTGTCTGGTTACCGTCCTGTGGGCCTGTCGTGGCGTTGTTATGTCCTCAGCCTCTTCCAGATACACAACGAGACTCTGAATGTGTGGAGCCACCTGGTGGCTGCTGTCTGCGTGGCACTGAGGTTCATGATGTTCACCATCCTGCAAGGAGGGGTACTGATATGTCCTGAACTGTTAAGTGTTTGAAAGCTTTGTTTGTGACCTCCTGCTGTCTAACCAATGACCTCCTCAGGGGATCCTGGGTTTTTGGTTGCAGGGTCCTGAAGGTCAGGGGTTTTCTGTGGATGTTTCCTCGCTGCCTTTGGTCCTCTATGTTTTTTCTGCCATCACGTACCTGAGCTGCAGGTGAGCCAAGAAAAAGCTTCAATATTTCCATCTTTAGGTCCAGACTGGAATGTCTATAGGATGGATTGTGATGAAATGTATTTTATCATTTATGATCCTTTCAGTATTAACTTTGGTGATCATGACCTTTTATCTAAGTACCAACGTTTCGACTAGACCGTCTTAAGACGGTCTAGTCGAAACGTTGGTACTTGAATAAAAGAATATTTTTTGCATTGAGTCTTAGAGTGTGCGCCTGACATCTTTTTCAAATTTGGATATTTCTGTCAATGGTCAGCACCTCTCCAACCCTGGTGTGCGCTGCTCCTCTCTCTTCATATGACCTTTTATCTAGCACCATCATCAGGTCAACATTTGAATGTATCCAGTACTTAGCAAATAGGCTACCTGCTGAACTAGTGCCCTGCACGGGCCTATTATCTGGGCCCGGGCCCGGCCCTGGCCCGAGGGGGAAACGAAATATACCCAGATAAGGTCGGAGGTCTATATGTGCAGTTATAGACCTCCGACCTTATCTAAGCACTTTTAATGGCATAAGTGGATATATTTCATTTCCTTTCAATATTAAGATTATTTAGAAAAGTGTTTGAAGCATTTTCGGGGTTTGTTTAATTGATTATTTTGTTTTTTGAAGTGACTGTGCGCGATGCAACTGCAGCGCCTGATATTGCAAATCGTAGGTGGCAGGTCTATTAACAAATAAACACGTCTATCCAAGCCTAAGCTACAAACACGAATAAAACAAACCTTATCACAGTGTTTATGAATGGGATCAGTAAAATATTGTAGCGACCCTGTAGTGAATGTTCTGTTGTAACGTCAATGTTCTGTGAGCGGGGTGCGAGAGTGACGAGGATGAGGTCTGTGTGAGTGCGGGTGCTTGTGTGTGTGGAGCGAGCTGGAGGAGAGAGCAGCAGTGCATGGTTCGAGTTAACGTTACAGCTAAGTCCTTATTTTGTGGTTGTTTTGGCGTGGTTACGGCCAACAGTAACCTGTACTGTTCAGTAACAAACGGTGGTTTGCCGAATAACCACGTCATTCTTCCACACGTCCTGGCAGACGCTACCATATGATGAGTGACGTGCAGCGGAGAGGGAGAGGCACAGCGGCTGCTGCGTTCAAGTGTTGCCGTTTAAATCGGTTAAACACAAACACACACCTCTCTAATTGACAGGTTAAAAAAAAAAGCCCAAGCCCGGCCCGTCTCCGAGGTAATGATGTGGTAATTGGCCCGAAGCCTGGCCCTCGGGCTGTCGGGCCGTCGGGCCCCTCGGGCCTCGGGCACCAGCGCAGGGCTCTATGCTGAACTAATAACATTCCCATCAGCCTCAGCTGTACTTTGTGTTTACTGATAATTAGCTATGGTCATAGGCGTTTCTAGCCCATTTTTGGTATTTTTGATACTCACTACAGGGGGCTGGTTTACTCCAGAAACATACATACTGTTTATGTGTATGTTGAGGAGCTGCTGTATCAAAATGAGTTATCCTCCCCCAGAAATTAGGGTTACGATATGTTTCTTTTATGATTCCAATCCATTCCTCTTTTGCTGTGGCTCAGCATTTAAATAACCTTTATCAGATTTGATGGTTTAGTCACAGACTTTCCTAAAAAGTGTTGTGCATTTCTTTCACAAATGTGGGAATGAAATTGCGTTAAAATGTACAAAACAGTGAAATTTATCTTGCCTGGCCGGGCAGCTCTCTGGGTGCTCAGCACCCCTAAACCTCTGATCCTAGAATTGCCCCTGGCTATGGTTAACATGCTAACACTCTAAACTAAAATGGTAGACATGGACACCATCTGTCTAAACATCATGTTGGCTTTATCACTGTGAGCATGTTAGCCCCAACTCGGGCTCTGAGCGCTCTATCTGCACAGAGCAATGCGCTGCCTTCTAGAGTGGGTGATATGCAGTAGTGGTGTAAATACCTGGCTGAAACCAGGATATGTGGCACATTTCCTAATTTCTACCACTCAATACAAACACATTATTATCATTACCAGTCCTCATTTTTGCTGCATTTAATCGTCACTGTTTATGTTGTTAGGTAGGAGTTAGCTGACGTTTTTTCTAGCTAGGAAATGTTACAGGTTGTCAGTACCACTGTCCCCTGTTTGAATTGGAATGAAAGAAGCTAGCTGTTGTGTCATGTGCATGTGTTAATATTAAAGCCAAGTTGCTACTGACTAGCTAACTGACTGGATGTCCATTAACATTATAACTCCCATTGTGTGTGTGTGTGTGCTTGTGTGCGTGTGTGTACAGACAGACAGACAGCCTCATCATGGATATAAGATTGTTTTTTCGAAAAAAAGAGCCAGGTTCAGGTAAGAATGTAAGATCAAATGGTCTATCTATCTAGAATGATGTTGTAAGTTGGATCAATGTATCAGTTTCTATCTCTTATTAGATATAAAACACATTGTTTGGTTATTTGCCTTTTGGTTGACAGTACAAACAGAGAGAGAGGAGCAGAGAGAGGACTTTATTTATTAGCATTCTTATTAGTATTTTTGGTATTTTTGGTACTCACTATTCACCTTATTTTCAAACACGGAAGTAGTGATCAACTTCCGTGTTTTTGTGCGTGACTTCTGGTCAGCCGCTTTCCCTTACCGGAGCTAACGGTGCAAGCAAATTTTTTTCAATTTTCAATTGTTTATGTTAGTCAATCAGTTAGTTAGTTAGTTAGTCTGTGTATTTTATATAGATAATTGTGCCCACATTTCCATTTCCTCCCACTGCACTCTGCTCCATCATGTCTATGGTAACACTGAGCTATAGATAAAGTTTTTCAGTGTTCCCAAAGAAACAGCAAACTTTCTGGTATTTTGTATTCCCCTTTCATCATCATTTTGTGTTGCCCCTCTAAATTCTATGGTTTTGTGGGTCTGTGAACGCAGCGCAGGCGGAACCCAGAATATTTTATTTCCTCAGAGTTGATAATTGATCAGTCAGTCCCGTCAGAGCTGTTCAGATCGATGGACATGGGGAGCGGCTGCTGCAGAGACATGTGAAAGCAAACTTTTAGACTCGGCGCAACCGGTTATGTTTCACTCTCACTGCACCTGCTGTTCCATCTGTGCCCAGGATATGCTCTTGGCTCGTGGTGCAGTAAATAACTGAACAGTTTATATATGTTCCAACAGCGCTCCTAAGCAGTCCAGCTCCAAATGAAGAAAATCAATATGTAGCACCAGATGTTGGGCTGCCACAAAAAATTAATGTGTGGGAAACCCTGGTTTGGAGAGCAGAGGACAGGTGATGATTCAGATGAGCAAGCTTAAACACAACATACTATCTTGTGTGGCGGCTGTGGCTCAGGAGGTAGAGCAGGTCATCCACCCACTAATCAGAAGATCAACGCTTTGAGTCTGCATGTCAAAGTATACTTGGGCAAGTCACTGAACCCCAAATTGCTCTCGATGGCTGATCCATGGGTGTATGAGTGTTGTGAATGTCCACCAGAGTAGCAGGTGGCATCTTGTATGGTAACCTTGGCCACGAGGGTTTGAATGTGTGTGTGAATGGGTGAATGTGACATGTAATGTAAAAGCACTTTGAGTGGTTGGAAGTTTAGAAAGGCAAATGCAAGTCCATTTACATTAAACACACACAGAGCAGCATAATCATGTCATGTTTGTGCACACCTGATGAATCCAATATTTACTTTCTTTTAGCTCTGTCAGGTTTAACTAATGAACTAATGAAGTGGTGTGTTGCAGTGCTGCGGCTCACCTGTTGCAGTCCCACTCAGAGCACGCTCATTATTCCCTGTTTTTCCTGGACTACGTGGGCGTTGCGGTCTACCAGTACGGCTGCGCTCTGGCTCTGTGCCTGTACAGTTCCGACACTGCCTGGACACAAAGCATGGTGGGACAGGTCGGTTAACCTGTATCAAAGAGCATGGATACCAAGAGGCGAAGCTCAATAGAACGCCCCACAGCAACAGACTCGCCCATGGTTTCGTCCTACCGCCGCCATTTTGGACTGTCAGCAGACCCGCTTGCATACAAAAACACACAACTGAAGTATATCGCTATTAATTATGCTTACAATGCTACTCACTTCGTGATAACTTGGTCACAGCTGCTTTTTCACGTTTTTGTAAAGCAAAATATAGAAAAGAAGAAAAACGGCCTAGATGGCATCTCTACATATTACATCCACTTATGAGAAGATTAACTTAATTACTCCTTCAAAATCACCCCATAAGCCAATCTACCAAAAAATAAAATAAAAAAAA